TCACCACAGTTGGCACATGCATGTGACTGAGCAGGGTAATTTGAACGGTCCTGACCAGGTTGGGCACATAAAGGGCGGCAGGCTGTGGAGATACAGTGTTTGGAAGGGTGATACAAACGCCAACATCTCTGAAACTGACGCGGAAGGTGCGATATGGCAGGAAATGGTAGGGCAATCCACCAATATAAACTTCATGGGGCAGGTCATGTCTATGGAAGCTAATCTTGACAATATTGACATGGAACTTACGCTGGGCTCTGGGAGGAATAGTGTAACACTGTACTGCTACTGCATCATAATCAGCAAGGCAGGTAAGTAGGTAATTTTCACAATCTGACTTATTGTTGTAATATGGGACAATCAATCGGGGGGATAGAAACAGATCCAGTACAAGTATTAAGAGAGAGGTGAGGTTCGACAGGAATGGGTTTGCCAGCAAGGTTAGGGTAGATAGTGCACGAGCTTGGGATTCTGATGTAAATGTGACTAGGCGTGAATGATCGGAGCGACTGCGAAAGGTAATTTTGTCTACTTGATTTTGGAGGCACTGTTGAAAGAGAAGGGTATTCTCAGAGTAGGGGGAATCACAAAGAATTGATTCCACTTGGCAAAGAGAGTACTTAAAAAAGATTTGCAGAGGCAGAAGCAGTAGAATGACCAGGGAGGGAGGAAGATGGGGTGGTGTAGATTGGAATAGTTCTAAGGGGGGAGGACAACAAGGATGAAAAGTAATAAGAAGGGAAGAGGGGGGTAGCCATTGAAGAAGACTGTGCAGTAGGAGACGGAGAAGAGAATGTTGGGAGAGAGGAAGAGGTGCAACCTGACGGTTGAGTAATAACCTGGGTGGGTGGTTTAAAATGGATAGAGTTGTCAGAAAACGTCGAGAAGGGGTTATTAGTATCAGTGGTCGGAGGTGTTATCAGAGGAGGGGCAGGGGTTGGAAAACCATCAAAATCGAATTCTGATAGGCTAGTTGATGAAGGGGTAAGCCTTAATGCCTCTATCAAGGATATAGAATATTCATTATTGGCCATGGTTAGCGTGAATAAAATGGGGAAAAGAAGCGGTCTACCACTCATGATCCCCATAAGGGGTAAGGACTAGACAATCAACCAAGGTAATACTGTGCCCATTGCTCCCGGAGGCCATTATCACTGACATAAAGTCTGCCTTTCATCTTTTTAGCACTGCTCTCACACCCTAGGAATGGGACAGAAGAAGGGGATGAAGAAGATACAGATGAGGAAAAGAGGAGAAGAAAAGACCTAGGAAAATTAGTTGAGGCGAGGCCTAAGTCCAAGGTAGAGGCAATCCCTACATTGGGCTTGTATCCGTCTCCTAAGACCCCCCCCCCCCAAAGCCTGGTAATGAAAGTGCTACAGCATGGAGGGAGCCTATCAAACTTCTTCCCTGTTAACTCAAGGAGCAACACGGCAACATTAAAGTTAACGACCTTGACTTTGCTAATGTTGCTATTCTGATTTTCTGGAAATACTACTGGCAGATTTAGATGGATTTAGCAATGAAGCAGCCTTAGGACTAGAGATCTGGATCAAGACCAAATTCTAGAACTAGGACTGCTCAATCGGTACATGCATATAATGAAAATATTAAGTCCCAGAGAGTTTTGCATAACCTGGCAGTGTAGTTCATGACCTGGCTGTCTGACTAATAGGTCAGTAGCTGGACTGGCTTTGCATCAGGGGCTATGAACTATCACAACAAGAGTATTTGGATACCTTGGCACCTGTGTAGAAGGACCAATGTATGTCTTCAAGGCCCTAATACTGCCAGTTTTATCCAATGGTAGAGAAACCTAGATGCTATCCTTTTCCTTGGAACCTCGTCTTAATACCTTTTGTAACAGGTCCTTGCACTGGATCATAGGGTACAGTTGGCAGAACCACTAGGAGATTGGCACAGGACCTGTTACACAAACCAGGACCACCACCTCAGGTCATAGAGGCACTTAGCTTCCCTCAGGAAAGCCTGTCCACTAGGTTGTCTGCTGAAGACAACCCTAGGTGCAGGGGGCCTATGGAATGCCTATGGAAAGCACTGGCTTGGTCACATTGATCAAACCTACTGTGAGGAGATAGAGATTGGCCAAAGCGCTACATTACAGCTCGCCATGAGAAACGCTTGTTGGTGGAAACTAATTCTGCGTTCGGAACTGCTCGTCTATCTCGGCCAGACAACTTGTCCAGGACCAGCAGGGCGAGATGCGCCGCGTTCGGAACCTCCAAGACCCTTTCTGCCCAGAATGCAACCGGCTCGAATGTAAACATTCACTTTTTTATCATACCGGTGTCTTTATTTTACACGCTGCATAGGTTTCGTAACTCCTTTGATGCACATTTAACTTACCTGCAACTGACAAACACAAAAATATCCGTTGATAACACAAATTAAGGTCATAAAATTACCCACCTGGTAATGAAAGTGCTGCAGCATGGAGGGAGCCTATCAAACTTCTTCCCTGTTAACTCAAGGAGCAACACGGCAACATTAAAGTTCACGACCTTGACTTTGCTAACGTTGCTATTCTGATTTTCTGGAAATACTACTGGCGGATTTAGATGGATTTAACAATGAAGCAGCCTTGGGACTAGAGATCTGGATCAAGACCAAATTCTAGGACTTTGGGAGACTGCTAGGGGAACCTGCTCAATCGGTACATGCATATAATGAAAATATTAAGTCCCAGAGAGTTTTGCATAACCTGGTAGTGTAGTTCATGACCTGGCTGTCTGACTAATAGGTCAGTAGCTGGACTGGCTTTGCATCAGGGGCTATGAACTATCACAACAAGAGTATTTGGATACCTTGGCACCTGTGTAGAAGGACCAATGTATGTCTTCAAGGCCCTAATACTGCTAGTTTTATCCTATGGTAGAGAAACCTAGATGCTATCCTTTTCCTTGGAACCTCGTCTTAATACCTTTTGTAACAGGTCCTTGCACTGGATCATAGGGTACAGTTGGCAGAACCACTAGGAGATTGGCACAGGACCTGTTACACAAACCAGGACCACCACCTCAGGTCATAGAGGCACTTAGCTTCCCCCAGGAGAGCCTGTCCACTAGGTTGTCTGCTCAAGACAACCCTAGGTGCAGGAGGCCTATGGAAAGCAATGGCTTGGATACATTGATCAAACCTACTGTGAGGAGATAGAGATTGGCCAAAGCGCTACATTACAGCTCGCCATAAGAAACGCTTGTTGGTGGAAACTAATTCTGCGTTCGGAACTGCTCGTCTATCTCTTCCAGACAACTTGTCCAGGACCAGCAGGATGAGATGCGCCGCGTTCGGAACCTCCAAGACCCTTTCTGCCCAGAATGCAACCGGCTCGAATGTAAACATTCACTTTTTTATCATACCGGTGTCTTTATTTTACACGCTGCATAGGTTTTGTAACTCCTTTGATGCACATTTAACTTACCTGCAACTGACAAACACAAAAATATCCGTTGATAACACCAATTAAGGGTCATAAAATTACCCACCAATATCTTGTGGTTACCTGCAACTGTCAATGTTTACATACAAAATCTATTGTGACGTCATCTCGTCCTGCTCGGCCACCTTCGCAGGAGGGCGAGCTAGTCTACTTGTCCAGGACGAGATAGTGGAGGTTCCGAACAGTCAAAACTTCTCGTCCACCTGGTCTGGACGAGATAGATGAGCAGTTCCGAACGTACCATAAGGGTGGATTTGGCTATGGGTCCCCATCAGCATTAGCTCCCAATGATGATGATTACCATAATTATAATCATCATCATTACTATTACTATCATTACTATCAACATCTATATCATTATCATCATTATAATTGTTATTATAATTATTATCTTCATTATCCTCAATTACCATTATTATTATCATTACTATCATTATTAAGGCAATCATTTTTATCATTATTATTATTTCTGTAAATATACTGTGGTTGTTTCTTAGATCAATAAGAGCATGAAATGTGAATATATTATTCCAGTAACTATTAAAAAAAGAAAGAAAGGAAAAAAAATCTCAGGGTATATTTCTAGGCTGTCAGAAATCTAAATTCATGTTTTAGCTCTTCAACACTTCTAAAAAGTCATTATTCCCAAGCAATGCATAAGCTTGCTGAGAAGAGTCATCCACAACTATTTACTTTATAGAATTCTACTACCTGAAAGCAATATTGGTTGGGAAATATAAATCAAAGAAACCAAATGGTTTTACTCTGGAATATCATATGTACAGTTTAGGACCACCATCTAGTACTCATTTGATCAGTCAGCAAGGACTGGAAATGTTTTAATAAATATCCACTATTATTTTACCGATTCTATCCCATCATACAAGATCGTTCCTCGTACACCTAATGGATTAGACATAAAGGGTTAAAATGAAAATGTCAATACTCTCAACTACTCACAGAAATATCCCATGATACCACGGTTTGTGAACTCAAAGTTCTCTATTGTTTGAGTTAAACCCAAAACAAAAAAAATATATTGGATACAAATTATTTAACAGATGTGCACATATATGTGCACAGACACAGACGTCTCTGAAATTACGTAAGATGCTGACAATAACAAATAGTTCATACTTTCTTAAAAGTGAACTGTTGACTATCAGTTGTAAGAAATAAGTAGTCTCCCAGTATAAATTGTGAACATACACCACAGCTATTGTTGATAAAACATGAGCACATGTATTTTTATCCTTGTTTATCATTGTCAGCTCCATCTGCCTTTAAAATGGATAAAATGTATTTTCTGAAAATATATATATTTATAAAAAGCATACCCATCCAACAAAGGGTTCTACATGTTCAACACTCATCAAATTATGAAACAAGTAATTTTGGTTTTATCTTCTCTCTGTGCTTCCTAAATAATAACACAAACAAGGAAAATAAAATTCCCAATATAACAATTTTTTTTTTTTTTTTACTTTTAATCTAATAAATACAGTAATCTGAAAGTAGAAATATACATCACTAAATCCATTCAAATAATAATAATACATAGGAATCCTATACTTTGATAAACAATAAATCTAAAAAAAGAAAGAAAAAAAATGACAACAAATCTAAAATATGAATACTTTTCAGATAAATAGGAGATAAATCCATCTTAACATTATTCTATTCTCATTCTTTTAAAGAGTGAAACTACTCAAATATAATTCTATAAATAATCAGTTATCATGAATATCAGCTTCAAAAATTTTACATAAATTTTGGAGTTACATCAATTTACCTAATGCAGTTTGAGGAAGTTCTAAAGAATACATACTTGGTATTCTTAGGATTAGTTACTATTAAATTTAAAGGACAACTTTATTTATCTTGCTTATTAAAGCAATTCTTGGCTTTAAAGTTCTGTACACATTCCCATTTCTCTGATTACTAGTAGTAATAAATTACCATTCACAACTTCATCTTATAAAATAATAAAGTAAAAAAAAAAAAAAAAAAAAAATCATTATTTTTCAATTCATAAGCTAGGTCTCTCTTACCAAGAAGCATCAAACCTCTAAAGTACAATATACAGAAATTGTCATATTCAGGCACATGCGGTAAAATGGGTAAAAGACAACAAAAGTTATTTATCAACTTATCATATTAATGGTTTGACAGTTAATGGATGGTTTACATGTCCTGCAGGTGGTATGTTCTGACTATCTTTACACAGATAAATGCTTATATCATTTTCTCCAGCTTACTGCAATACAGTTTTTTTTTGGTGACGGGGGGACAGGGACCCACCAGCACAGGTTATGATTATTTTTGCAAACCTTTAATGCAACGATTATAGATGTGTAACTCTCCTATGAGAAGTGACGCTTCTCCATCAACCCAAATATCCACTTCACACACTTCCTTTTCTTCATCCTCTGGAACAGAGAATGTCCTGAAATTGGGAAAATGGGGAGGCATTAAGAATTACTCATTGGTTCATTAGTTTCTGTTGTTTTTCTTTCATGTAAAAACTAACATGAATACTACTGAGAGATATATGAATGAGAATGTATAGTTACTATAATTCATGACAAATTATTCATCCTCACTGTGACATCTCTTCACAATGCTTACAAATTTCAAAATTCTTTCGTTTATCACCAAGTTTGTGAAGCATGAATGTTTCTTTTCATTCTGCCAGATGTCTTACTACAGCTACAAGCTGTTAAGTACATAAACCATAAATTGTCTCACCATAGAGTGATTTATCACACTACTGTGTATAGGATGAGGTATATAGTTTTAACTAGATGAACAGAACAACATATCCCTCTTTGTGCAGCAAAAATGAGAGACCAGATCATGGAACAACAGGATGTAATACTGTGATGTCTGTCATCACAGAACACCCATCAGAGGGATAGAACAAGTACAGGAAGTAGGACATCCACCTGACAAAAAGCATTATTGTGTACCCAGATCTTTAGTAATACTGTAATAATATTAAAAATAACAAATAACTTGATGATGACGATGATGATGACGATGACGATGATGATGATTGCTGATGATGATGATACATCACCTACATCCAATTACTCAAAATACACTCACTTCTGTCTCCATCCATTAATGCCAGTGTCAACCACAAGGCTCGGACAGTTTTCGCTTGTCGCTGTCTTTGTGTCATCCTCACAATGTAGGATAATGTCTTCCTCTGATGGTTGGCCTGTGGAGTTTCCTGCTGCCGGTTTGTGGCAAAGAATCAGGCTAAAAGGGACCGTAGATTTGCTCTGCCATTTGTATGTAAAGGATACTACCAGAGCAACCTTCCAGCTTATTTTGCATGTCAACAACCTAAGAAACACAGATTAACTGATATTTTGTGCTATCAGATATCATTATGATTATGAAGGTAACTGTTCAACAATTACCATAATCCTTATAATTATTATAATAATTTTAATTGGCACCACTGTTAACATTATTCCTCCTATTGTCATCTTTAATACTTTACATATTATTTTCTTCAATCACTTTTCTTTGTACTAATAATTTTTCATAGCATCTTTATCATTATTGTTACTATGATCATTATCAGATATTAACTCAACATTATTATAATGCTCAATAATGTATTCCATATTTTCACTATTATCTCTGCCATCATTGCCATTATTTCAATATAATTTTTACCAATACTATCATCATCATTACAACAGCTTCACAAACCTGATCTTTGTTGGCTTCGAAGTTGTCACTCTTAAACAGCCTCCACCAGAAAATGCTTCAGTGGTAACCAGAGACAAGTTCCCATCATTATTTTCCTAAAGATGAACAAATCATCACTGCTTGAACCTGTATTACCTTTTAAAAGTGGCTTACCTTGAACATGACATCTTTATGACTATATCAGATCAAAATACAAATATCCTAATTAATTTCCTTTTCAAATATCCTAATTAATTTCCTTTTCAAATATCCTAATTAATTTCCTTTTCAGTCTTTTTTTTTTCCTCTACATAATAGCTTATCTGGTCTTAATATGGCTACAATTTTCTTTAAATGACAACCTGTCAAGAATCATGGATTTTAATACAAAAGCCAGCTGATAACATATGATAATAACTGTTAAGTTGATACAAACATATATATGCATATATCAAATCAATCAATCAAACATAAGTATCTTTAAAACTTCATTGACTATCTGAATTGCAGTATAAACCAAAAGCGTAATAAATTCAGTAAGTTTTACAATTACTCCAGTTCCTTAAGAAAAAAAAATAGTGACTAAAGTAAGATAAAATAACCTACCTGAGACCACAGAGGCTGGTACTGCTGTTTGCATAAGTTATGCCAGTTGTCACTGCATACTACCTACAGTGACAAATTTGTTTATTAAAAAGATAGTGTAGCATTAAAACTACTATCTTTCACCCATTGGACAAAGGGTTATGTGGATATCACATCCTAAAAAATATTGCCAGGTAGGGGATGATGGGAATGTGTCATGGAAAAATTTGGCTTAAGGCCAGGGTGACAGAAAAGTATCGTTATGAGTTACTGTTGTCAAGTGGTGGGTGATAAGGATGATCAAACAAAAGTTGTTGGATGGTGATTAGATTCTGTGGGTTTCTGAATGAGGGAAGCATGTATTTTCAGTGAGCCATGCCTAGAAGAATGCTAGATCCAGCAAGGGCACTATTCCTACTAGCCTTGACCATCAGCACAGGGTGTGTTCAAGAAAATTGAATATTGCAAAAATGTTTAAAAAATACCATATGTAACACATTATCAGTAACTGTTATTGTTTTTGCATGAAGTTGTTGACTACATGGAAGATAATATAGAGTCTGCTAAAGAACGAACGTCTAAAACCATCTTGCATATACAGAATAATTGCTAATAGCATCATAAACAGGAGGCAAGAAGTCTTAATATTGGACATGTGTATTTGTATGGGCCAGGCTTACAAGACACACATCTACGAGAGTCACCACTCAATATAGCCTAATGCATGGATTTTCCACATGCAATGCCTTAAGAAACCATAAATGCCAATTGGTTATAAATACTATCTACTTGCTACATGTGTATAAATAAACATATAAACAAAATCAAATACAAAATTTGATAAATCAAATCTGTGTCAATCAAGAAAAAAAAGATGTAAGAAAAAAATAAGAGAAAGAAAATTATTAGAAGAAAAAAAGAGAAATTATTTCCACTTTGAAAACTAACCTCACCCTGGGAAAATAACTTCTCTCCAAAGCCCTGACAGAATGAGGTTTTAAAAGGTAGATCTGCTGGTCCATGATGACAGAGGTGGGGTGACAGGGAGAGCCACAGCTTGCTCTCAGCCTCTACAAAGTTCTCCTGTGTCTCATACGTCCAACCTTGGGCAAAGATGGCAGCTGACAGTTCCTGTGCTCTGACTACCTCTAAGGCCTATAGTGGAGGATTTGAAGTTTCATGAAAGACTCAAGTTTTCTCAATTGTTTCTCTTAGAAAAAAAAAAGCTCTGTATACAATAGGCAATATATGAACAAATTTATGAACTCAGAACTACCTTGTGTGTGTTGAATTTCCCTCCTTCATAGAAGTTTCTTCCGAACACATCCAACCCAACCCAGACATCAAATTTCCTTTCACCAGCAGCCTCCCTGGATCGTATAAGGCTATCTTCACTCCAGGTGTAATTGAGGAATATTCCATCACAGACATCAAAGAACTGCCTGTAATTGTGTTAAATGATTAAAACCAAAAAATTAATAGTAGTATTACATATAAATGAAATCAAATTGATGCCAAATGTAAAAATGAAAGCAAAATCTTTACACTAATATTCTTAGTCCACCAAGATTGTCCTGTGTTATCAGCTATAGTAAGGAGATGATGTTCTATAGAAATCAGTGATTTATTTTGAAAGATGCACCTAAAATATATGTTGAGAACTGCAACAATAATTTTAAAAAAGGTAATGCTTGTATATATACACGTATGTACTGTTGAGAGGTTTTGTTTTATGACATTTGTTTGCATGAAGATGGCTCCAGAAGCACTTAAGTCACCAAAGAATTAGGTATAGCTGACAGCACCAATTTACCCCATTCCTTCAATTCTTTAAAAAATCTATTGTTACTAACATTGTTAATACAACAGAAGCAGCACCAGCAGCACCAACAGCAACAACAACAATAATGATTATAATCAATAGTAATTATAAGATGAGGTAGGCTTAATAACAAACTCATTAATGACTTAGTACTTATAAAACCATCTATATACAAGAAAAAATCAAATAAATTGAACTCACAAAATCCTTTCCATCCTTGCAAAACACTTTCTGGTACTTAACCTCATATATGAAAAAATGAAAAATTGAAACCTAACCTTCTCCTTCTCTCTTGAAATCTTCCTTAAATTTAATCTTACTATTTACACAATACCATGCCTTTCAAACACAAACGTAGATCTTTGATCAGTACTTCCCCACAATAATTACCCACAGTTTACGTCCTGTACTTTATTCACAAGAAGGCCCACCTGTTCATTTCATTCAGCTCATTCTGCCACTTCAGGTCTCCTTCTTTGGTGACACTGTCATACCACAGGACCACTGCATTAGGACAAACTTCCTTCATGGCAGATGTCAGTCTTTCAACAAAGTCAGTTAATCTGCCAATCTGAAGAGAAAGCAAGATTTTTTGAATAGACCACAAAGCAGTATTGTAATAAGTATAGGCCTACTATAAGACAAAAGAAGCAACTTTGGCAAGGCGCTAGAGGTTGTCATAGACATCTGAAATCTTATAACATGCACCCACTCTGAGTACAAAATTATCACTTTTTATATTAGTATGAAGCAAACAAGTTACCTGTTCTGGGTTTATTTTGTTTTCAATATTGAGAAGCCAGCCCTCAAAACCATGGTACTTGGCTATTCTGGTCAACTGCAGTACTACATTCTGAACTGATGACTTGTCAGCCAATATTTCATTGCAAATTTCAGCACCTGCATCCCACTCTGTGATGAATGTTCCTACCAAATGAAAAGAAATTCATAAATTAGATTCAATTTCACACACAAGCAACAAATGAAACAAGATCTAATTTTACAGGCAAGCAACAAATGAAACAAGATTTTGTTAGCATATTACTCCATTTATTTTCTATGTATTTGTTTTTCTAATTAGAAAGGATTGTAAGAGGAATCACTTTTGTGCAACAAAAATCAAAAGATAGATGTAAAAGAATGAGACATTGTTTCTAACCAAACAATTTTTTTTTTTTTTTTTTTTTGGGGGGGGAGATTAATTATTATCACTATGATACTTACAAGTGGTCAGAACAACCTTTAGTGAAAGTGCTTTAGGTGCTTTTAGCTCTATGATATTGATGTTGCAAACTGATCTGCTGACCTATCCAATGGAGTAAAACTAAGTTATTAGATTATTTATGCAACTTTCATTCCAAAAAGATCAGCATAAATATTCCATATTTTAAATCATTAACTAAACAAAACATGCATCTGTAAATTCAACTGCCCTTAAAAAAAATAATAAAATATATTAAAGAATACAAAAAATTAAAAAATCAACTAGCCACATGACAGAATTTCTTCCTAAGCTTAATCCATGCACAATTATACATGTACAGCACTGGATGATGACTCATAAATATCAATTATCTAAAGGAAAATAGCAGCTACTATCACCCTAAATCCTAAATATGGTAGATGTAAACAATATGGGGCAGTGGCTAAGTAGTGGTTGTGTAATCTAACCCATTGGCATTGCATAAATTATCTGTGCAATGTGGTTTGTTTTCTTACTTTTGTTTACAGATAGACGACTCCACATGCACTTAGTCACTAAAGGGTTAGTGATTTCACCATTCTACAAATTTTTGGGGAAAAAAATTATTTTCATTACTATCAACGATTAACATTATTGTCATTTCTGCTATTATTGGAATCTGAACAATAATAACATAAATACAAAGATTCTTTACAAACCTCAACTAAAAAACACATTGAACGGCACATGTATACAAGCATGCAACATATCAATGGGTTAACAACCAAACCATCATAGCTACCAGACTGTTGAATGTAAAATTATTGAGGTAAACCTCTACTTTACCCCTTACTGAATGTACATTATTAAATTGAAAAATTTTAGCTTTTACATGTAATTTTACAAAGTCCCCCCTCCACCCAATTTTAAGTTGTGATCACTAATTCCTAAACATATCAAATCATTAACCAACTATGATTTCCACTGTAACACCTGAAAGTAACAATGCCAAAGCTATCAGTACTAGTAGAATCAAACCAGAAGAATTATTTACCTAGAACTTTAACCCCATGCAGGTGTGCAGCATGGACCCATCCTGGAGGGGGTATTGTCACTAGAGAGTGGCTGAAGTATATAAATGCATTAACACCAGACCAATTATAGAATCTATATGCATCCTTGTTCTTGCACCCCTTGTAGAACCTGAGGAGCAAAAAATACAAAAAAAGAATAAAGAATTACCAGCAATTCAGAGAAATTATGATGAATAACTGTAATATAACTTTGTTTATACATGAAAGTAAAACTCTATTTGTTGTAGTATACTATAATGATGATAATGATCATAATATTAATAATAAAAAAAACAATAATAATAACAACAATAACAATAATAATAACAATAACAATAACAATAACAATAACAATAACAATAACAATAATAATAATAATAATAATAATAATAATAATAATAATAATAATAATAATATAATAATAATAATAATAATAATAATAAATAATAATAATAATAATAATAATAATAAATAATAATAATAATAATAATAATAATAATAATAATAATAATAATATAAATAAATAAATAAATAAATAATAATAAATAATAATAATAATAATAATAATAATAATAATAATAATAATAATAATAATAATAATAATAATAATAATAATAAATAATACAACAATTATACTGATCCTTAAAAATCCTTA